ACGTGAGCATTGTTGCCCGTCACGTGAGTGTTGTTGCCCACAGCACTTTGGATTATATTCATGATAATATAAGTCCCTTACATGCATTCCAGTTAACTGTTTACCGATACTAAAATCTATTGTAAAAGTAGAGCCTAGTTTTTGTCGTCCTGCCGTTTGAACTATACTGTATCCTAGTGATTACATTCTCTCGATGCTGGCATAACAAAAGCTGTCTGATTTGAATTTGTCTGATTAGCTAAAGGTTTAGTAAGTTAAAAACTTATTAATGCTTTTGAAACAGAAGATATTAATTAATTATAACTTATTAACCTTCCTCACCACGAATCAACTAGTGGGAATCCTTTTCAATTTATTTATTCCCATGACCAGACATTTTCAGCGTTCGATTCAATTTGAACATAATTGATAGTTATACGTATTATCAGTAATTGTCATCACGAAACAGTATTATACGTAGAAAGCTCTGGTGAAATGAACGAAGAATAGGTTAAAGATTTTGATAGGTTAAAGATTTAGTTTAAGATTAAAGAATTAGTTTATTTCCATTGCATCTGCATTAAAGAGTAGGATTTTCCATGACGGAAATGACTTTTTTGCGCCGCGTCTGTGTTGTTCGTTCGCTGGGACTCCCACGCCTGCAGCTGTCGTCGCATTAGCCACAATTCTTCTCGGCGAGGTCCGTTACTGCGTTTCTATGCGTGGACTCTTCATCCGCAGACAAGGAAAGAGGCTGAATAATTTAGCGCATAATTACTTTTAAATTTAAGTAAATAGTCGAGTGAAAAAACCGGCTTTCGCAAAATGAACTGTGTCAACTGTCCACTACTAGATCAATGATTTTTTTATGTTTAAATTTATCGTTTTCAAGTCGAAGCGTGTCATTCTTGTACTTAATAATAAATTGAACTGATTAATAGCTCACGTAAGACATTACTATGAATGTGTATACATATAACCTGTCCTCAATAGAAGAAGAAGTCCTCAATAAAACTGGCATTATTTTATACAAATTTAAATACATGTTTGAATGAAGGGCTCTACCCTAAATATACAAATAACCTGTATTGTAAATGTCCGTTGGTAATTAAACTATAATATCATGACCGTTAATATCATGGCCGTCTAAGAAAGTGCTACCGGGACTGTGGGTGACGATGATGAAAATACTGCTTTGAATAATGTAGTCTTGGTCATTCCTACATCTAAGAAAGTGCTACCGGGACTGTGGGTGACGATGATGAAAATACTGCTTTGAATAATGTAGTCTTGGTCATTCCTCCTCATGACCAGCGAGCGCAGTGGAATGATTGCAGCAGCACGTCACAACCTGTCTCTTATACACATCTAGATGTGTATAAGAGACAGNACTAATAGTTTTCTTATACGTTTTGAAGCTTTTCTTTATATTACACTAATAGTTTTCTTTTACGTTTTGAAGCTTTTCTTTATATTACACCAATAGTTTTCTTATACGTTTTGAAGCTTTTCTTTATATTACACTAATATTGGGAAATACTTAACGAGAATTCAAAGGCAGCTTAGTATTAAACATCTACCTTTACACTGCACTTCGTTCTATCAAAATTTACTGTAACGGAAAATTTAATAACCGTGAGTTTAATGCGATTTCGCTTCGACAAGCATTTAAGTACGTTTGAACGAAAGCATTCGATTCAATGAATGGATGCATTAATCGTCATTAATCTGTGCATCTAAAGCTTGGGTTAGTTTCAATGGACGAAAAATTAGCTTCAATCATATATTTTTATTTTTTTTTCATTTTACTATTTTATTGCCTGAATAAAATTTGTTACTTAATTACTAATTTTATTAATTAATCGAATTGGCTCTAGTAGTGAGATCTAATCGCCATTGATCCATTGTAATATCTTTTTAATCTGTGTTACGGAATTTTTATGTTGATTAAATAACAAAACAAATGAATCACATATAATGGTCAGAGAGACGCGGCCTGGCCTCTTGTATGGGGTTGTAGACCCTTGGAAAAATGTATGTAGACCCTTGGAAAAATTCTTGTATGGGGTTGTAGACCCTTGGAAAAATGTATGTAGACCCTTGGAAAAATTCTTGTATGGGGTTGTAGACCCTTGGAAAAACTGACAAAGCGGAAGTAAATTAGCAAGTCACGTCGCTGCGAAGAGGACAAGAAGATTCTGGTTGCGGTTTTTGGAAAAGATTTATTCTACATTGAGGTTTTCGTCCGACATGATCTTGGTGGCGTCTTTCACACGTTCGAATTACAGACTATACTTTCTTTGACCGAATGAAGATGGGTTGGTTGGACTTTACCATTAAAATGGCTTTGTAATCGATGTTTGTAGTGCTTGTCGTTTGTTATTTTGAATCAATTCCGTCACTATATTTTTAAAATTTATCTTGTGTGTTAGATTTTAGGAGCGTATCTACCTAATTTGAATTATTGTTTGTTTTGGACCCCGGCAAAATTAGCTTGCTTAGAATTGACGAATCGGAACATGGGAGCCGAATTATTTTCACATGCTCTTTACCCACGTATAGCCGGCTTCGATATTAGCCTTCTCGTGCTTCAACTAATGTTTATTTACGCGCCTACCATGCAGTAAATTTTAAATTCGTAATAAGTTATTTATGTGGCAGCAATCGATTTCATGGATAAATGAACAGAATATTTATGATATTACTCTGCTTGTAATGCCATGAAAATAAGAATTTTAATCCGGTTAATCCTCAGCTTCAATAACTTATTCTACTCTCTTCATAGAAGTTATTTTAATGCCATCGAAATTCCTTATTTTGAATGTTGATCTACATTTATTATTTCTTAAATATCGATGTGACTAATATTGACAAAATCTCTGCCATTTCCTCTCCAATTGATTTCTAATCAAAGTTTCCATTAGCAACTTCATTTTCAACGTTGATCTTTAGGCCTAACATGTGCTGGCCCTGAATATACGAGTACTTGCATATTAATCTTATTCTCCATATTCTAGTAACAAGATGTTATTGCATTTATTCTAATTTTCTAATTAATAAAAACAAATATAACTCAGTACTCACTGCAGTGAGTGACAGAGAGCGCATTTTCTCGTCGACGAAAACTTGAGGTCACGGACAGACGGACGGACAGACAGACGGACATGGTGAGCACAATAGTGCATTTTTTCCACAAATGAGAAAAATACGCTAAAAAGTTTACATTTGTGAGTGGTACGACAATCCGACTCGAGTAACAATACAATTGTAGCCAAATGACTGAACTCTCCACTGATATCAAGCTCTTATCAATTGAATAGCTGCCCTGCGTTCCTTTCCCCTTAGAAAAGTCAAGCTTGGGTCACGGGAATAAAGGCTAGATTCGGCCAGGTTCCTACTTCCGGGGAAAGGGCTCGTTTGCCTTCCGTGAGCCGTAACCTGCCTGGGGCCGTATCACGTAAATTCAAATGAGAGGCGTTGAGCAACCTGATGTAATCATTACCGGTGACCTTGCCCATACCACGCCCTTTGTCAGAACAGGACTCTTTCTATATTTAACGTGACTTAATGTTGGTAATTCAATTTCAGTGACACTTCTTTGGGTTTTTTCGCAGGTCATGAACAATCTTATTATCTTCAAACTTATTGCCTGAGCAGCTTTAGCTCGTGGTTGCTACAGAAGTCTAAATACTCAATTAAAACGGCGACATTTTAGACAATCATCGTCACGTACAAGACGCACATTGTTACCTTGAAAGTCGCATACTATTTAACTCTTTTTCATGTCAACCTTACTACAATAAGGATAAAAATAGGAGTGTAAATTTCACGCCTAAACAATATGGCTGTCGGCCTTTGAGGCAGCCATTGTCATGCCTTCCTCTGGTCTCGCTACAAGGCTATCCTTCTTTGTGACCTCAAATAACTTCTCAGTAGAAAATTAAATTCTTCTTTAACTCATGTATGAAAGCCTGTGCATGAAAACTAAAGCAAACAAATTTGAGTGCTTATTGATTACTTCGGAAAAAATTATTTTCGATGTTTTGTCTTGGAGATTCTTTTTTATTGGAGATAAAAAAATATTGGAGATTCTTTTTTACCTAAATAAACATAACATTTAGCAATAAATGTAGCTGCTGATTTGTTTCAGAATTGATTGTCCATTCAGCTGAAATTTTGGCACTTCATCGGCGTTCTGTTATTATTTATTCGTAAGCTAAAAAAATCAGTAGCCCATAATATTAACTTATTTAATTTTTACAACAGTTCATGACCATTTCATCATTTCCCTGTAAATACTGCAATATCGTCGGCCTGAATAAGAGCAGTTGAACTGTCACGCTGTGAACTTTTATGGCGGTGCGAGTTCAAGTCCTTGAGTTCTTTTCTAGACTCGTGATTGAAACATTTACTCGACGCAGGCAGGCGGATCTCTGGTGATATATTCCTCTCACGCGACTTGATCGCTGCGCTCGCGGAAGTCAACGCTGATCTAGAACAGACAGAATACGACCAATGATGGCCGATGGCATGACATGCTGATAAATAGACATGAAGCATACGCTATTCTTTGAAGAGATGAAAGTGTAATCTCCTACCTACTTCCCTTCAACAGGAGTGAATGTACTATACAGCTTTACGGAGGCATACGTGTACATATCAGGATGATTTGATTCGTCTTTAATTTATCCTCGGAAAAAATCTTTAAAAAATCAAAATTCTCCAAAAATCAGTTATATTTTTTATATGCTCGAATTTTTTTTATTTTGGTTTAATTTTTATCAGTTCTAACTTTAAATGCGAGTCAGAACCTCAATGAACTAATGAACTTGACTCGAGAATAGAGCAACGATGAAATGCACTCATTAATTACAGAATAACCGTGGCAGTATCTCGGTACAGATTCTAGACATCGTCAAGCGTGATTAATTCTCACTGGCTTAGGTGAAGGAAATGTTCCATTAAAGGAAGAAGTTCATCGATACTTTCTTTCTCACGTTTATCCCTTGTCTCTGTTCCAGGCGTGACGCCAGAAGATCCGGCCCCAACTCTTTCAGAGGACCGCCCCCTCTCTCACCTGCTCGGCACATTCCTCCCAATCTCAGTAGCAGCAGCTTCCGATCAGTTAGTCCAGGATCCACTTCACCATCAGTTTCCCTCATCACAAATGGACACAGAAGTCTTTGTACCTCACCAATCAAAGGCCTGCAAACTCATGATGCGGCTTCGAACACTTTGCCTAATGATACTAGACGAACAAGCAATTTATTGAATCATTCATCTACTTCCAGTAATCACCAAATCCCCGAAATTTCTCTTTATCCAAATGGCCGGCCAAGAAATGATTCAAGTGTATCTAGCGCCAGTCACAATCGTTCAAGTAGCGCCCCAGACAACTCTTTCACTTCTACTGAGCCATCAGTTTCTCATCACCTGTCCTCTCAGTCTGGTATAACTTCGTATCTCGTATCACCCTTGCATCTGCCCAACAGAAATACTATCAGTCCTTCTATACGTCCTCCAAGTTCAGCTGCTAGGACAACGTCACCCCGCCGTACTCAAAGAAGTTCAGATGAAGACACACGGAGATCACGAACGCCACAACGTACAGTAAACAGACGAGAACGCAGTCAGAATGGACGAAGTGGTAGATCACATGTTTCACCTTCCAATGTTTCAACTTCAAGTACCAACAGCTCGCGATCAGCATCTCATAGAGTTTCGACGAATCCTGGAGTTTCTATAACCCCTGCAGCACATAGCCGAGCACCCTCCGCATCCTGCGCCGAAGACGAATCTCGTAGATCTAGTGCAGCGTAAGTAAAAAAGGAAAAATTCCATTTCGTTGACAATTTTGTGGCATTACATAGCTTGTATATCAATTGAAAATTTTTTTATGCACTGCAATGCAATTTAGTTGCAGAAATGAACTTTGTATTTGTCTGTATTTTAATGCCTCATTCACTCGTGTTATATTCAGTGGATCAGAAGGTCGACCATCCGAGAGCAGCAGCAGCAGCAGTAGCAGCACCTCCGCTGCTGGCTCTCGTACAGACCGAGGCGCGCGTAGACGCCAACGACCTCCGGGTAAGTGGGCCGCGACTCTACAATTCTACATTCCCTAATCTCAGTAATCTGTACTCAACTATGCTGATTTTTAGCCAGTCTGTACAATATTGTTATCAGCTGTAGCTCTTTTAGCTAAGCTGTAGGCCGCCTGTAGCATAGATCTGCGATCAGCAAACTCGCTGGCGCTTAGCAATACAATCAATCTGGATATTTACATGACATGAACATTTTATAACGACAGAGAATAAAAACGTTCCGTTACTTTTTCGGTCGTCTTGCATTAAGAAAAATTAAATGGAGAGAATAATTATTTCATGGCAGCGGTTACGTGCGCTGAAGATCAGGACGTATGGCCCCATCATCACTCGGGCCTCATGGCTTCCCTGGCGGTCACTGTCACGGTTTTCAACATCTCCCGCTTTGCCGTCCTTGGAGCCGCATTCGGCTGTGAGTGTTTCACCCTGAGATCTTTTATCTCTTATTTTTCCATATATTCATGTGAAATCTTCTCATGAACGTCAATGAAATTATTTTTTCTATGTAAAATTTTGATTAATCGCATTTGCGAGCTATATTACTTGTGTTTCATGCCTGCCTATGTAACGAATCTTCAGAGTTGAGATTACAACTGACTGTGTGTCATTTACCACCTACGTGATGTAACGATGTTACATGCTGTCGCTATTAACATTTGTCACGCGCTTAGTCATTGTATTATAATTAATATAAATGCAGATGTTATTTGCCAGTCCGATCCTCGTAACATTACTCAATATTTTGACTCATTATTTGAGTCTCATGTTACAGGGCCGTTCTTGGTGCAATGGCTCATCTTATCTCTGGTGTTGGGAGTACCGCTACTAACTCTTCACGTGGCCCTCGGTCAGCACACGGGCCTGGGTGCTTTGCAACTCTGGAAAGTTGCTCCGATATTCCAGGTTTGTTTTCGACATCGATTACGACAATATTGTTATTCGTGCAACGTATGGAGGCAATATTCCTAATGCGAAATATTACGAAATTCAGACATTCCGTTAGACATGAAGTTAGTCACACCCTACCTAACCAGCCACACCTTTTGCTTTTGTTAATTTTTTTTTATTCATCTACAGCACGTCTGGTCCTGAATTGCGATACAAATTTTTGTGTTGAGATCATTCGTATTGACAACCGCTAAATCTTTATTCTATCAAAGTCTTTGTTCATTTCACCACAGCTTTCTACATAATTGATCTATTCTCACGTATTTTGGGTTCAATGCACAGAACATTTGAAGGGAACATGGTATCTTGGGTTCAATGCACAGAACATTTGAAGGGGACATGGTATCTTGGGTTCAATGCATAGAACATTTGAAGGGGACATGGTATCTTGGGTTCAATGCATAGAACATTTGAAGGGGACATGGTATCTTGGGTTCAATGCACAAAACATTTGAAGAAGACATGCCGTTTTCTTGCAGGGGGTTGGGGTGAGTCTGGTGCTGGCACAGCTGGTGCTGGGTGTCTACTGCAGCGTGCCCATCGCCTGGCTCTTCGTTTACTTCAACGATTCGTTCTTCACCGACCAGGACGCCTTCAGCTGGTCCAGCTGTAAAAAACGTAATATATCATAATTCTTAGAAAGTATCGTGTTATATTTCGTGGTTCAATTCACGATTTGACAATAAATTTATATAAAGTAAATTGAAAGTAAATAATTTGCTGGCAGGACTCTTTTTGATTTCACACATTGAAAATTTTAATTCATGGATGAATAGATCTGAAAAAATTTAAATCCTTTTGAATGTTTAACGGAAATAAAGAAATGAGTTTATTCTTATTATTTAAATGCAACAATCATCCTATCGTTACGACTTTTTAAATATAACGTAGTCTTTTTACTCTTGTTTCTCAGTGTTTTCTGGTGCGAAGTGTTCGAGTGAAGCCAACCTCAGCGACATTCTACCTCTGTCCGTACCTCGCTACCTCAGGTATCAGCTAATGTTGTAAGATGTGGGATTCTGAAGTAATTCCCCAGCTATCATTTACATGCACTGTATCGAAAAATAAGATTAACGAAGTAATTTGTGCAATTTATAGCAGACATTCGCATAGTTTATATTATATTACTAGAAGTCTATGTACGAATTTTTTTCAGCTGGCACGTACAGCAGAGAAACGTGAGCAGTTCGTGGCAGGAGTCGCTTGGATCCCTCAAGTTCAGCCTTGCCTTCAATGTCGTCATCATTTGGCTCCTTACTTTCATTGCGCTCTGTAAAGGCAAGTATCAAGCTAACATAGGTTTTGGATCCAACACGTGCATCTTACTGGAGATTTTTTGGTGGTTTTAACTGTCGTCCCTATTTTATTGTTCATCCGCAAGGCTCAAACACGCGAATTTTTCTGTCGATTTTTTGATGGTTTTAACTGTCGTCCCTAATTTATTGTTCATTCGCAAGAAGATTAAATTGAAGAATCTTTTAATCGAAAGCATTTTATTATGATAAATAATTATTGAATTCCTACACCAAGCTGATAAATAATAACTTGAAATCCAGTTGAAGCAATGACTAGCCATTCCTGTTCGCCTACTCAAATAATTTCACTGCTCACCAAAAATCACATGTGCGCCATTAAGTTAGACGCGCTGTGCAGGCAACCGCGTGTACGGGAAGGTGAGCTACGTGATCTTCATCGTGCCGCTGCTGTGCTTCTTGGCCGTGTGCGTTTACATCGCATCCTGGACTCGCGAGGACCTCTCACTCATTCCTGATTTTGCACGCGCCTTTATGAACAGCAGGGTTAGTTTTGGTTATTTTTAGCTCATTTTCTCATTTATGGAAAAAATGCACTATTGTGCTCGCCATGTCCGTCCGTCCGTCCGTCCGTCTGTCTGTCTGTCGGTCTGTCTGTCCGTCCATCTGTCCGTGACCTCAAGTTTTCGTCGACGAGAAAATGCGCACTCTGTCACTCACTGCAGTAAGTACTGAGTTATATTTTTTGTATGGTAGAAACTAAGCCGGTATTAATTTTCGATGGTAATTATCAATTGAAAACTTTTTGACGCGTTGATAACCACAGTCGGTTTTTGTTTAGGCTTGTGTTTACATATTTTTAATGATTAGATTCTTTTGTAAACCTAGTTTTTATTTGTGCAGTCTTGGGTGGCAGCAAGTCGAGAGGTTTTCTTAGTATGGGGCCTGCATGGACCTGTGCTGCAGCAGATGACGGTACACAACAGGTATGTGAGACAATTTTTTTAGCGCATTTTCTCATTTATGGAAAGAATGCACTATTGTGCTCGCCATGTCCGTCTGTCTGTCCGTCCGTCTGTCCGTGACCTCAAGTTTTCGTCGACGAGAAAATGCGCTCTCTGTCACTCACTGCAGTGAATACTGAGTTATATTTTTTTATCTTATCGCTCTCGCACCTCAGCACGCAATTGAATGCATCATTAATAATAAGATATAGTATATATTCTGATCGTTCCAATCATCGGGTACTTATTTGTAAAAAAAAGTACTTGCAGAACAGTAATTTTACATAGAATGCCATAGAAAAATTATCCGGAACATTGCAGACGGGGTCAAAGCATCAAGAGTCACGTGTGGCTGCTGGTGCTGACGACGGTGCTGGTGCTGGTACTGGCTTCTGTGACCGGCTCCTGCTGCGCCGCCTCCTTCAGGCACATCGGTCTCAAATATTCGCCATCTTCGTTTGGTGAGATCATCGTTGCCAAAACCTGTTTTCCTGCTATCGGGTCTTGTTACGATATTGGATTCGCATCAGTTATGGACGGTATTCATATATTTTATGATGGAATTATTTGTATTGTTGAATTGACTTCGTATCTGTTACTGTACTACGATTATTTGCTTTATAAATAATTTGAATTTATCCGTGTGTTTCTGCTTTCTTCTCTACGAATACTTTAAAAATTGAAGAAGTAGAAATATAAGAATGCACTTAACGTTTCTTAGGCCACTTAACTTTTCTAAGGATGAGGCCGGAATTGAACTATTCGTTCGAGTGGCCATTTCAGACATTGTTGACGACAAACGTACGTTTGACCGTTATAAAAAATGCAAAATGACTGTCATTGTGCTTTTCCTATATTAAATATGCCTGTGGTTACTCCATCCCTGTTGTACTGTTGTAATAAGTTGCACATAATTACAGAAACCCCTGACACCGCTCAGTTCCTCGTGCCATTACGTGACTCCAGCGAGAGTCTTGACGCTGCTGAGGGAGTGCAGACCGACGTGAGGGCGAGCAGCAATGCCCTCGCCCCTCACGGCGCCCTATGGGAGGACCTATACGACGCCCGTGCTGAACGCGAGGGCATGAGTGGCACAGACGATGGTCTCATCCATGTCTTGTATGACAAACTTTTCTACATGGCATCGCAGCTCATGGTCTCGCACATGCGATATGATTCTCTCTACGTCGGCATTAGGATCTCCTATCCGCAGCTTGGTGAGACCTCGAAACTTGTATGATGTGAATTAACTTATGAGCGCATTGTTCGATGTCTAAAGTGAGTTTTATTTCTGTAGGTGCAGGAACCCATTAATTTCGTCCTTATCAGTACCCTCTAATTTTTAGAATCTAGGTTTTAGCACAAGAACGTTTCACTGTACACTGTAGGCATTTCGCAGGTACACTGTACGGCTTGCTGTACGACAATATGCTCAGCATGGAGAAGCCTGACCATCTGGCACACGGTCCTTGGAAGCGTCCCGCCACTACTGACTGGAGTCGCAGCCCTCCGTTTCGGTGCGTTTCCTTCTTGTTGTATATATATATACATATAAATTTCAAATCATATGTAAATCACGAATAATCTGAGAGCCAAGAATCGTGTGAGGTTAAAGTTATAACGAACTGCAGTAAAATTACGTGTTTTCTCGTAGCAGCAGTAAAATTACGTGTTTGCTCGTATTAATAAACAAGCTATACACCTATACTGTATATGTAAACCAACTGTTGCATGAATGCTCTCGGTTAATTTTTCTTGTCCACTTTGCAGAAGATTTTATAACATGTCGACGAAATTGTAGGGGCATTTGATTAAATTGTAAGGCGGCACATTGTTAGTCAAATCAAATTCTACTTTTGCATTTGAAACGTTGATAATAGAATTGGATTTGACGTTGCGTCTGAAATGCTGCCTAGTGGTGAAACGTATTTTTTACGGACTACATAAATCCAATTCATCAACAATCAGGAAATCGCGAGTTCAGGACAAGTCCAGGAGTGGCTACCAGAGCTTGCGATTAGCGACGGAACTTTTCCCAGCGTTTGTGGGGGTCCACGGCGCCGAGCAGATCTCCATGATCTGGGCGATGTTATTCTACTTCTCCTTGTTGCTGCTGGGCATAGCGCAGCAGGTGAGCCTCGATTGCCAGTCAATTTCTCGTTTGATAAAAGCTATGTCGTGCAAAGGTGCTTGTGTGAAGAGTTGAAACCATACCCTTTTTGTCGTTAAAATTCAATGCCTGTATTCATTGAACTCTAAAAATATTTGTAATGAAGTTCTTTAATTCTGACAAATATCATGGGACCAAAAATAAGTCATTGTAAATAATGTTTAAACAATGCAATACCAACGACTTTTCGGCACCAAACCACCGCCTAATTTTACAATGGTTGAGCGATTATCAAGATTTCACAAGCCCTCTTCAATGCTCACAAATATGATTATGGGACCATAAAATAAGTTATTGTAAACAAGGTTCATACGATGCAATACCAACGACTTTTCAGCACGAAACTACCGCCTAATTTTACAATGGTTGTGCGATTATCAAGATTTCACAAGCCCTCCGTTTTGGTGCCTTTTCTTCTTGTTGTTACAACATATATATTTCAAATCTTATCTAAATATCAAGCCCTGATAAATTCTCTGAGGTGATAAATTCTGTGAGGTGATAAATTCTGTGAGGTGATAAATTCTTGCAAGTGATATAGAATAGAATAGAAGTGTCGGCGTTGAAGAAATAGGCCCATGGCCTGTTACCGATTCTTGAACTTTTCGTGACTTGATTCACAAGGGATCCGGCCTTTGGAACCCGAACTTTCCATAGCTGACGATTGATTAAGATAGCTGCTGGACTTATTGCCTGGTGCGTAATTTGCTAGGCATTTTGAGACTGAACTGTTGGTACATTGCAGCTCGCGGTGTGGCGCACGCTGGTGGAGATTGTGATCAGCAGCACGGGACTGCAGAGGAAGCGGGGTCTCGTCACCGCCTGCTGCTGCCTGGTCGGCCTCTCCGCTGCCCTACCACTCTCATCCCAGGTGACTTAGGGAGACACCGCGCAGTAAACTCTTCTAAATATTTTGTAGTTGTAATAACCCTTAAGATTGCCTCGGACTAGAGTATACTTTTCAGATTTTTTATGTTGTTTAATCATATCTATGTGAAAGGTATTGATTTAGACATACTGTAAACGCTAATGGATTTCTTGTTTCATCTGATAAAGTAAACAAGGTTTCATATCGTGCAGTTGAACGTGCAGCTCGAAGTTGGATGTTCAACATTTTATTTTTGACTAAGTATCTTGCCGAAAGTTTCCATGACTTTTGTAAACAACCCCATTGTATTCAAAATAGCTGACGAAAATTGTTGGGTTTTCTAACAAAATTAGTTTCTTTCACAAATAACAACTGTTTCTCCATCAGCTCGGGCCAGACTTGCTTTACTTCTTGGACTACATCATCGGATGCGCGTGGTGGCTCATGATTCTGCAGCTGGTGCAGGTTAGACTGATTTGCATTCAACATTCCCAATTGGCAACAATTGGGAACTGTTCAAAATAGCATATTACTGTAGGTACCATACGAGCTCTGAAACTTAGCATTATTGTATATTTTTCCTCTACTCAATCCCATTGATTACTTTCCTGCAGCTAAATAACTTTACCTTATAGGTATTTGAATTCTCTCGCTTTTACTTTATACATGCAGGTTTTACCTCGCTCCCTCTTACTGACAATCGCAATAACGATTATTAAACATCCTTAACCAAATAAATCTTGGTTAATTATATATATTTGCCATATATATATGTATATATTTCTTACATTTGCTATAAGTTTTGGAACTCTCATAGTTGCATTTTAGAAATGCCCTCACTTCCTCGCGCGCAGGTGTTTGCGATTCTTTTCGTGCGCGGCAAGCCCGTGAGCGCCCAAGACATCGTCTCGGCCATCGCGGGCGGCCGCCACGCGTCGCGAGTGCCTGGTTGGTCCGTCCACATTTCGGCCTTCGCCTGCAGCATCCTGGTCCCTGTGGGCCTTCTAGTGCTGTCCATCTCTTCCTTCAAGTCCGGCCAGTATCGAGAGGTCAGAGAAGTATAGTCTTCTAAGTCCGGCCAGTATCGAGAGGTCAGAGAAGTATAATCTTTTAAGTCCGGCCAGTATCGAGAGGTCTTCTAAGTCCAGCCAGTATCGAGAGGTCAAAGAAGTATAGACTTCTAAGTTTAACCGAAAATCGACACAACTGCTTGTGTTGCCAGCAAGTGATGGAAAATTATCTCGGAAGGATAAAAAGCAATATTGCAGTGAAGTTTTCATGAATAAAAATGAGTTAGTTTGTAATTGTATGCATAATGTTAAATAAGCGCGTCGTAATTCTAGAGTTCATCATAATTGGACTTCACAATTAAAAAATTGATTTCTCCATTTATTTTTTTCATATTGATTGCTACTTTCATCAGGTAGCGTCCGTTCAGCATCAAAGGCTCTCATGTGAACCTTGCATAGTTTTCTTTAGGTCAGGCCATCGCAATAATAGCACAAGCATAGAGTTCCTGTGAAACACTGCTGGCATTTTAAAACCCTACTGGGGATACATGAGCGCATCCAGACGTGAACAAAGTTACTAGTAAAACAAACTATTGAGAAATTCGAAATTCGTATTTAAATATCACCTTGTACACCCTTCAGTAATAATAATAGCGGTTACAGCGTTTAGTAGGCCGTAGGCCTGTCGCCGATTCTTAACATCGCAAAACATTCACAGCATTTTGCGGTCTCGAACTCGCAACTCACTGCTACAATTCTTCTTCGCTTAACCGCCCGGCCTCCTCGCCGATTCTGACCAGAAACTGGCGCACAGAGCTGGGATCAAACCCGCGCCTCTCTTCTCCAATCCCTGGTACTCTGAAATTTAATCACTGGGCCACTCTGGGCCCCAACTCTCTAATTTATCAGGCGATTATGTTCCGTAGCGCTGCTCTTGAAAGTTGTGGGGTTTCCGTTCTTGGTTGCTTTCCTCCGTTCAAACGAAATTTTTCTGCACTTTTTCGCTCAAACGAACTTCGTCACTGTTCTTTACTCAACCGGCATTTGTTGTTCATCTTTACTCTATCTCGGGGAAGGGAATGGTAGTTAATACCGGTCTTACTCTGTGCCCTTATTTACTCATAATTCTCTACGTCATAAAAATTCCCCAATTCACAAAATCACTATAAATATGTCCAAATCGCACTCGGTATTAACACTCTTCAGTACTAGACAGGTCCAGTTCCCCAAAAATAATAGTTCTTCATACCTCGGCATGCACTCATTCTCGATGCCACGCCATGTTGTTCCTCCAATTCTAATGGTCGAGGCCGTAGCCTGACATTGACTGCTTAATTAACGACTCTCAGCCTCCCTAATCTTCAAACTTCGCTTACAGCTATGTTTCGTGTGATGGTTTCAAGTCACGTAAAAATTACCTACTCCGATTCAGAATATCAACTCATCATCATCGCCTCCTACACCGTCATTTCAAACCTTAAAAATGTCCCGAATTCTGCCTTGAGGTTGGCTACTAGATGCCTTAAGGGGACCGGCTACCCTAAAATTTTCAATTTTGGCGTTTTTCGTTTTTTGTGCTCATCTGAAAGCTGGAATTCTGCTCTTTCCAATGGTACCACTGCCAACGCTGTACGCCAATATATACGTTCATGACGTCTCTTTAAAGGGAAGCGGGTGAGAGAGTTCTTTAAGTAATTAGATATAAAGTAATTAGCTGCTGAAATCTTTGAATATAGACCGAATGATACGTGTCTCGATGTTGTAGGATGATATTTGTAGGAGGAGATAGATTTTCTAAAGTACCCCTTTTTAGCCGTTTTCTATGAATTTCACGTTTTCTATCAATTTTTTTGAAAAATTCATAGAGGCAAAATGTTCTTATTTTTACATTTTACATATGTTTGTGAAGTTTCATGATGATCGGATAATAACTGTAGAAGTTTTTCCGGAGGGTAGCCGGTCCCCTTAAAATTACTTCAGTTGATCACGTCCATTCTGAGACAGGAATCTTCCCCTGTCGATGCTTCTGTAGTGGGCATGCTTATAGTTTATTGTCAGCGTCCTCAAGTCCTTCCACACTTCCTTTTCAATCTTCTCTGCTCTCTTCGGAGACATACCTATGAAAGCTTCCAGACTATCCAGCTTTCTCCATCTCGTAGCGTCCATCCTTATGGGAGGCATCACTACTGCCGGCTTTTGTGGTGAGACAAAACGGACTCTTCGCAGCGATATTCCATCCAGCATCGCTGAGACCACCGAAATAGCAAGAGAAATCTTGGCTGCCTCGCTTCCGATGAAGTTCCTTTACCCCGCTCAGAGCTAACTTGGCTCCGTAAGGGCCACTGTAGTTCCACGGCATCCTACCCATGCAGGATGGGACGAGCGCTACACGGAACGTCTCCTACCAGTGTGCAAAGACCCTAGCAGTTCATTAAGAATTTTTTGCACTTCTTTTTGACGGCACTCGGTATTTTCCTGTCACACAGCCCCACTTAAGGCGGCATTCTTATTCTTTGCTCCTCTGATTCTTTTTCCAGCTGTCACCTCACTTTTACCACCTCCGCCTTCACACTCGGCTCTCGGCGCAAGAAACAACATTGATCCGAAACTTTGCGGTACCGTAATATCTAAAAAATACATTTTAAGACGAGAGAAGCACAACGTAAAATGTAGATCATTGGAAATCGTGTGAAGGTAAACGGAATTATATGATAAATATTTACAGCCTCATTAAGTTAAGTGATTTACAATACCACCAGACAGCGTGAACAGCCAAGTTCCGTTTGCAGGTGTTCACGTGGTCGTCGAATGGCTACTGGCCGGTGTGGGCAAGTCAGGTGGCGTCTGGGCTGCAGCTGCTGCCCATCCTCCTCGTGCCCCTCGTGGCACTCGCTCAGACCTGCAGATTCCTTGCCAATACTCGCTATGACCTCTTCCAGGTACGCTGTTAGCGCACGCCACTGTATTTTGCTGCTAGGAACTTGCCATAGCTCGACACGGATCTTTGCCATGTACCAATAAGAAACACGTACCGGCTCTATGCTGCTGGGAACTTGCCATAGCTCGACACGAATCTTTTCCATGTACCAATAAGGAACACGTAACTGTCCTATGCTGCTAAGAACTTGCTCATATTTGCTACGGTAGGAACTTGCTAATATTTGCTACGGCCCTTTTCACTCGCTCTAAAAGTGCACCTAACAGTGCTAAGTTGCTAACGAATGTTTTGCTAAGCTGCATCTCGCGTTCCAGAGGATACAGTTGCTGTACCGGCCGCAGTTCGTGCCACGCATGCAGCACCCACGTCCCCCCACACCGCCGCTCTCACCCTCGCGCCACGACCTGGAGTCTGGCGAGGGCGACGCGAGCTATTCAGCGCCCGCGTCTCCCGCCCCCTACTCCGATCCTCCCCCTAAATATACCCCGCCGCCTTCTTACTCGACCGCCACGGGCTTAGGGTGAGACCAGCTAAAGTTGTGAATTGAATGAGTTAACATATCGAAAATTGTTGAGGGTTGATAATAAGGTTATTATCCTGACATTTTAAAACTTCCTTGATGTGTGCACCGTTCCGGCTTGAAGCAGATCTTAATATTTTTCATTCGCATCTACTTTCATTGTTAATGGATCAATGGATTTAAACCATATTACTCCAAGTTGAGGCACAACAATTCAAACATGCTGAAAATCTCTAGAACAATCTTAACTCGAACACTGTAACTCCTCATAAATGAATTGCATTTACAGCATCGCGAAAGCTTTGAATGCGAACGTACGGCGGAGCATTCGGCGACTGCGGAGTTCATTTCGGCAAGCTGACACCAGCCGGCCTCGTCCAGCAAGCCTTCACGAGAACGGCCAGCAAATCTGGACGACGCAAGTGCACAATATTCCTCCATCCCAAGTTCCAGAAACTCAACAGCCAAGCCTGAACATCGGTGATGCTCCGTCTTCACTGCACGAGGCTCCTTATATCCCTCCCGTTGATTACATGGGCGAGTCGACTGAGTTATCAGAGGATCCACCCCCCATTTACCAAACACTTGACCCATTGTCGCGACAAAAGGTCTTGAAGATGCTGCAGAGAGCGGGCATTAGGAGGAGCGTTCACTCGGCGGCAAGAAGCAGTGGTCGGAGATCACAAAATGACCGCAGCGATGAAAATGTTTTAGTCGCACCTCAGCAGACGACGTTGGAGTTGCAAGGTCTTGATCACTTAGCATTTGATCACGAAATAGTTTAGCTTTAGAACCCTAACTCCTGATAGTTATTTTACGGTCAATTAATCATGCAAAAATCGTATCAATGACATATTAATGTAACACAAGTGCCTTGGTTCACGTCTTAAGTTAGTGCCAGGGATTATAATTTTATCATACAATCGTGGCTTGGGAAGAGAATTCTCAAGAATACTTTCTTTTATCCTATTTAAATTTTGGGGGTATAAATACTCTTCACAACGCCTAGCACTTGACGAATTCAGGCCAATTAATATTATTCGATTTCAAACGTGCTACATCTCAGCCAGTTTGAGGAATACTATAATTAAGCAGCTATATGGAATTTTTAACCATTGAAATGAGGCATAAACCTGTCATTAAATATATACAACTAATATTATTCCAACTCGCATCTAATAGTGTATATAAATTGTGTTTTTCTTGTTAAATATATATCAACTTGCTTGCCAGCCATTCTCTTTCCTCTTTAAACTCCTCCAATTCTAAGAAATGAAAATTATTAAAAAAGAGCATAGTCAAGAAAGAAGCGAGAAAATGCAATGCAACCTTTATGATGAAAACCTCAACAATTAAGCCAGGTCTTCCAGACAAATCATTTATGATGTTCTAGCTAACGAAAAAAAAATTATGAACAATTCCCGTTGTTCAAAACTTTCGGAAGGAAAAATGCAATGGGCCATTGAATATTTGATATTTAATTTGAAAAGTATGGAACATACGGATGCGAATTGCAGTCTATAGAGCTAGCTTTTGAATCATAGCCACAGTATCAATCAATGGACAGCCGCCACCAGCGGGTACATTCAGGAAAATAAATATGTAAATTTAATTAAACGATTGTCTAGCGCCTCGAAGTGTCACTAACAAGAATGCATTTTATCTTTAAAAGTGAACAACTAAACAAACCCCAAATTACGAATAAATAGACATGTCATTGACACAGAGTGAATTAAATATAAGGAAATACTCAAATCGTCCAAGAAAAATATAAAAAAAAATTCATCACATAAGTAGTGAATGGAGTCGCATTAAATACGAATGCAATTATCAAAGCCTAGCATGCTTCTGTGCGACTGAGATGAAGAAATATCGAGTGTGACTGACATAAAATTACCCTGGATGGAAAATTACCATTCTGGGCAACTAAGATTAACAAATATCAATAATTTTTTCAGTTCGACTAGCTGACAGTATGTACAACAACTTTACTCGTCTAAAAATTCATAACCAATACTCAACGTCTCCTAAGAATCACTAACATTTAACATAACTAAAAAATCACTTGGATCAACTGTGTGGCCATTAAATAGGAGCAGTAAAACCTCCAACACTCGTCGGATGAGGCTTACGTCTACTAAGAATCACTAACATTTAATATAACAAAAAAATCACTTGGATCAACTGTGTGGCCATTAAATAGGAGCAGTAAAACCACCACCACTCGTCGGATGAGGCTTGTGCAGCAGGTCAGCCATTACACTTTCACAGGCGCCTGCAGGGACAGCTTGCGCAGAGAAAATGACGAGATCGACACGCCAATCAAGAACAAACCAAAGGCTCCTGTGTGCACGGCTGTATCTACATTCTTCTGTGGCTTGACCTGTGAAGAGTCAAAAGCATTACCTTTTTCATCCAGTCACTTCAACTATTAATTACTATATCCAAGAACTTGCAAGGGGCATTATTAAAACCTACCATTACCATTGGCGGTAAACCAATCATTTAGCTAGTTTTTTGAAGCATCTGAATTCCCAATACAAAAAATATAAGTATCAATTTACTGACATCCAAAACATTTTCAATGTGGACTTGAAGTACTGGTACCTATATCAATTGAGTACCAGTAAATTATCAGACTATCTGAACAAGCTGAACTATCTCCTAAATGTGGCCTGAAATGTTTTCCTAAATTAAATACAGATAATGTATCATTATAGTGAGTCTTTTATAGGTAGTTCTTTAACTACATATGTTGGTACTTACAAGTGACCTTGCAACATTGGCACCACCAACATTGCGGACAACATAGACAAACATCCTCTGTGCTGGCGATGATCTTAAAAGTAAGAGGAGTTCCTGCAACATGGGAAAGACTGCATTAACCAATTGAGGCTCACAATAAGCAATATAACATCAATCTACATGAATAGGTAATTTAGAATATTTATTTGAATCAAGGTTCCTCCCTAAATTCAATTATAATAAACAATTGTTACCAACATTCAAATTGCATGAAATCAACAGAAGCTTAACAGTTACAGAAAAATTATTATAAGGAATCTTGAAAAGAAAATAACATGTATGAAACAAATGTAAATGGCTGGCCCAAAGCAATTGAGGAACTTGCTTCATTGCTCCTCCACACAAGTTTTCTATGTTCACATCCCTTCTTTCAGATTACCAAATAAGATATTCACTAAAAACTGTCTTGAAAAGTAGCAATAGTACCTAAATTATTCAAATAACATATACCTACTACATGAATGTACCAACAATTTACTTTTTTTTGAGTGAATAGCAACAACAAAGTTGAATAGAAACAATTCTCAACAACAATGAATAGCAACAACTTTTACCTTTTTACTTTTAAAATCTTGCACTTCCAAAAGTATTTTAGTCTAGCACCTCTGATGCCAAAACTTACATATACACAGTTACAGTGGGAAGCCAGTACGGTATATAAGAAAATTAGCCATGTTAGGCAGTGCATAAATTCATCCAAAAACTCTAATGAATAAATGAAGGCTTGAACAGTGAAAGTCAAGCTATTACATATGATCCATCAACACTCATAATGGGCAGGGAGTGTATGTAGCCAGAATCTCAACTAGACATTGATGTAGTGCAGAGCACAAGCATTTCCAAGATCACATGGAATTTATCAACAAAATAGTAATTGAAAGACTAGTTCAAGGATGGACGCTGAATTGGTATAAAATACAGAAGAAAGAGCGACTTGTTTCTTGATTTGAATTAAGATTTTTACTTATGACAAATAAGCAAATTGAGTCATTAGCAGGGAAGCAGGATTGTTATTCACTAGATGGTTTTGACCTGATATCAGAATAAACTAAGACTGGCTAAGTTGAAGCTTTGAAAGGATATATATGTCATGAACCTTAACTGACCATCAATGAACTTATTGTTTGTGTCAACATACTAAGCCAGTCTTTTAGGCTTTTCAGTTTCATTTCCTTTACGAAAATTTCACCCACTCAATAGTTCCATAAGTCAATCATCATGGCTACCATTATCAACATACATACATGAAATATAAACAAATGGTGAAAAAGTCCTAGACTTAATAGAAAACAGCAACTAAGGATCCTTGTTATCCCATTGCTCCTTCAGAGTCCAGACTCATGAAACCAGAGTATGGCAGAGAAAGAAATAAATAAATGTAGTCTGCAAACTTGGATAAATACTCTCACCCTGGCTAACACGACTAGGTATGCACAAAAAATAGACAAGGAGCACAACAAAACAACAAAATGGCAACTAAGCATATTTTGTTTTTGGCATGCAGTAGACCTCCTCTAATCCCCATGCTCAATGACAGTTTAATTTGACAAACTCATGCGTGAAAACAAATCAAGGAATCTCAATTATTACCAGAGCATTTTGTTTACAGAGAAATTTCTTTTCTTTACTTGCTTAGTATTATTTGGCTGATTTGCGCAAAGAGCATAAAAAAGTTTAAAATTGGCTTTGTTCATTAACAAAACATATAATAAGAAAAATATTAATCAGACCTTTTTTGTAAATGTTCTCCAAATTTCAATGTTCTGAGAGAATGCAATAATCATTTAATAAGTTGCATGGTGGCAAAGTAGAAACTTTTTTAGACATCCTTTTGGAGTCCTACAAGTAGATCATTAAATGTACATGGATACCAGCATTATCATGTACATACCTAGTCAGCCTAGGGCCTAGGCCAGGGCTGGAAAAGTCCTACTTTTTCCTAAAATGTTGTAGCTCTAATATCATATGATTTCAGTAGGTATGAAATCTTGTGGCTCAAATGTAATATATTTTTTTATTGAAAAAATTATTGTGGTTTGCACTTTGCAAACATGTCGTTTCCTAAAATTTTAAAGTTCCGCAATGATGGCACAATCTGCAGTACTTCAACGCTCCTGTCAAAATATCCTGCAGAACATAATAACAACAAGTCAACCCAAAACGTTTCCTTGAAGATTGCATAGCAGCAGTCAAGTCAGCAAGGCTGGAAAAGTCCAATTTTTTTCTGAAATATAGCAGCTCTAATATCATATAATTTCAGTACGTACCGTACTAGGTATGAAATCTGGCAGATCTAATGTCATACATTTTTTGTTTGATTGAAAAAATTGTGGTTTGCTCTTCACAAACATGACATTTCATAAAATTTTAAACTTCCGCAATCTGCAGTATATATACTTCAATGCTCCTGCCTCCTGCCAAAATAACATGCAGAACGTAATAACAAGTCAGCTCAAAATGCTTCTTCCATGAAGATTGCATAGTTGCAGTCACGTCAGAGTGGTCTTACTGCATTAACACTTGTTCAGTTGCTGCTCAACACATTGACTACGATTGCTCCATCTTGTACTGTTATTTCATTTTTTGTACTTTTTTTAAGCAGGGTTGCCAGACGGTCATTTTTTTTGGACAAATTCCGTGATTTAGTTTTTTCAATTGCGTTGGCCGGCTAAAATTTATGATAGGGGTACTTCCTAATTAAATTTAAATACTGCAAAAAGAAAATAAATGGAATTTTCATAGCAGAACCTACAAATAAACTAGTATACATTGAATTGTCAGCCTTTTTTGTTCTCGGATTTGGCCGATTTTAGGCAACCTGAATTATGTACCACTACCTCCTGGAGAAATACATTTTGTGGTACACATATGTACCAATACGTAGTCAACGTGTTAAGTGAAGACAAATGCTAGTGACTGTTTTTTGTATGGGACTTTGTAAATAGCATGGGACTTAGTAGTTAGTATGCATGGGACTTTGTAAATAACAAGTTTGTGGGCCATAAATGGTTTTTCTTGACCAAGATATGGAATTCACGGCTGGCAAACCTATGAAGCCATGGCTCGACCGCTCGAAGAAATGGAACCACGGCTGGCAAACCTATGAAGCCATGGCTCAAAAAATCCTGCCTGCAAATCAGAGTGGTCAGACTGAATCATCACATGTTTACTTGCTATTCAAGTGAATACAAATGTTAGTTTTTCTGTTTGACCTAATTCATCAATATTATTAATTTCTCATTATCATTAATCCATCATTTAAACATATCAGTATTAGTAATAATTTATCATTTATTTATCCTTCATTTATTCTTTATTAATCCTTTATTCAGCATGTATTCATAGCTTTTATTCATAATTTATTAATTTTATATTTAATATTCATCATTTAAAACTCTTATGGTGCCAAAACCATGAAACTGGAATTTATTCTGTTCAATTCTGCCTTTTGTGAATTCATACCATTCATATCTAACAGTCACACTCACAACTACTCACAACCAATCCAATGGCAATGGCATTACCGGTAGATGATTAGTCCATTTAGTGATTTACTGCATTAGGACCAATACCATTACTGCCCCACGGCCCCCACCCACCTGCAGCCTGCAGGCAAAGTCTTGAGCCAAAATGTTTCAGGTTAGACATTAGAATAGATAGCCTACAAAATGAGCTTTCTAATGGTGTTAAAATTGTTTAAATTGGCTCATAGGAAACCTTGAAATGATAGTTTTTCTAAAAAAAATTGCCAAAAATTGGTTTATTTTTCTGTTATTGCTCCAATTTTGCTTAAATTGCTATACCTACTTAACCAACCACTGCTGATATCCATGATAGTTTAACTGACATAACTGTCAAGTTGTCAACTCACACTCATAAAAAATAAAGGTCATCAAAAGATATAGGCTAGGAATGTATTTAAAATAAAAGTCTGCTGTGCTCAGAAAGTCAGACCAACCTTCTAAGGCTTACGGAAGGAAATTAAGAGGAACAAATGAAAGAACTTTTGAATTTGATCTATTCCTAATAAATATCATGAGAACTATTGACCGCACAATTACGATTAGCACCCATATCAGAACATGAAATACGCGGCACATTTTGCACTGGTAAAAACACCGATGCATAAGATTTTGCACCGAAATACATACCTCAGGCGCTAGCGTCGAGCTTCGCAACACCAACCCGCTCCAAGCCTACAGTGCACTGTCGTGCTCGCACAGCACGTCAGCACCAGGGTTGCCAGATGGAGCCGAGTGAAAAAGGCCAATTTAGCTCACAAAAAAGGCCACAAAAGGCCTCATTTGAAATTAATAAGAAATTCTTAAATTAAAGGTAGTTCTAACCATTCGCAGGGCATGCATTTACTCTCAACGCTTTGAGAAAGCAAAAAAACAACCAAATTATCAGAAAAAAACGGGAATTACACTTTTCATAAAAAAGGCCCAAAACGGATAAAAAGGCCAAATTATTTTTTGTCAGGCCAATGCCTTTAAAAAAGGCCACATCTGCGAAATTTGGCCTGAAAAAGGCCCATCTGGCAACACTGCACAGCACTGACAGCAGCACGCAGATCGCAGACGGCAGCGGCGGAGAGGTGGGCGGGTGGTAGAGTTTGCTCATAAAGGAGGCGACAGGTAACTGGCGCCAGCAATCCTGCTGCTAGGTAGCTAGAAACCGTCATAAACTTCAAAGATATACTACTAACTTTTTTTTAACATACTAATTCAGGACGAAGGCATCGCTGAAATTCTTGTAAATCTCTATTAGTTTTATTTATGAAAATAAAAGTACACTTTCTCTTTTCTGATTTATTTGTTAACTTTATTTGCACAACTTCGTACATTTATTTTCAAGGACATAATTTTAGTTAGATTTTATTTACAATATTTCACGCACTAAATCTCTTGATATGGCCGTGACCTTGAAAATCCGCGACGGTGCCAAGTCCTGGGTTATTTTCTATGCATGCCATTAATATCAGTTAAGTGTATTCGTTCATCACAATGTAAGATCAGCACAATACTAAATAAATTTAAATATTTGATCCATAGGCATAATTGTTAGCTCTTCGATTTAGACGTCAAGTTCTAACGAAATTTACTGCGGGATGCACTCGTCGATATGATGTACTTGTCGACGTACGATTTTGTTTGGTACCCCTGACAATCTTGCATATTATGGCGGAATGCCCGAGCCACAGCAATACTCGGCAAAACTACTACACTAACACTGCTGCTCTCAGCCCGGACGAAATGCTGTCTAGGATACTGAAGAAAGTTCCCCGAAGCATCTTTAGAACAGACAACCTCAGACGATACCTAATCGAGTGCAACCTGCTGCCGGAGATCTAGCACGGCGACATGACATAGGTCAGAGAAGACCCACTCTACACTCTTGACAAAACACCACATTCGTGTCCACACATGACCATAATTAAGATGAGACGACAGAAGTCGGAGCTAACAGGCGCCTCAATAATAGATCAGCCTACAACCGAGGCGAGATGGATCAGGCTGCGAGACTGAGACCAACGAAAAACCTGACCCTGCAAAACCGAATATAGCACCTTCGGCACGAAATAGACGAAGCTGTTCTGATGCGCTAGAGATCTCTCACGTACTACTACTCGACGTACGATAAATTATTAGTAGTGTTATCTCGCTAAAACATATCAATAGTAACCTGCCTACTTCCCAATATCTTCAATTCCTTTCGATTCAATTTCATTGTACGTACTACCTAGCAATGTAATAAAAGGAAAGTTAACGAGCATCGGCGTGGATCAGAATACATATATTAATTGAATTTGTATCACATTGAAGTTTAACTGAGACAAAAAAAAATCGCGAAACTGAACTAATGCAAAGAAAAACAGGATAGGGCGTTGTCTAGTTAATAGAGCGTCGTCCGGGTTGATTTGTTGAGATTATCGGACCTATCAAGGAATACAGCTTTCAACTTATGCAAACAATGAAACGCTACAAAGCAACAGCTTCATTTTCACAACTGGTACATTACATAAAAAAGCGTATCTCAACAATTTTCCGGCTACTCTACAACGTTTCTGAAGGACGAGAGCTTACAAAACCATGGGAGAAACGGTGACATGGGAATTAATGTTTTACATATTAAAAAATATTGCTGTAAATATGAAATAAACAACACGTCAGTATAAACGGTAACGCACTGCTGCAATGAGAAGAAAGAGCCGAATTAAAAAGCCTAGTTCATGTTAGCCTATCAGAGTCTGCATTAATATATTTATTAAATTGAAACAGCAATTCTTCAGAAAACGAAGTCTTTCCCCAAATCGATTTGACTCATTTCTACTCTATAAGAAATACTTAAACCTTGCAAAAATAGTTTATCTCAAACAATGAACTGGTACGTATCGAAGACTAAGCGTTAATAACCATCAGGAATTTAAACTCTTGGGAACGTTTAGGAATGAAGGCATTGTGATGTTAACTATCGTTTGTTATAATCCTGAGCTGAGTAAGAAGACCGTCTCCGTCGTATTCGGAGCCACCTCTGTCGCACTACACGCCTTCCACGTCCTGTGATGCAAACGTGCCAGCAACACGCTTCATTCAAAGTGCTAACAAACAATTATCGTGACACGAGCTCAAAAATATAATAAAAATTTGACAAAATGACAAAACGTTCTCTTGACGGCTTCGAATCCATCGCCTCACAGGCATGTAAGCAAGTGTTCGTTGATGTAACGTCTCAATTACGATTTCACGGCGAAAATTTTCTTGCTAAACTTGGACATTTTTTACTAAGAAAAAAACACAAAAAGTTGAATGCAAGATATAACATGAAACTTGTTTTGAAAATTATTCTAGTCTTTGAGAGGGTAACAAAAACGACAGTAACAAAATAGCATCGAATGAATAGGCACATCAAACTAGCGGTCATTGTACATTTTTAAACAATAAATTAACGGCATTTTTAGGTTTTCAATTAACAGTAAGACATGTCCAAAGGAGAACCTCAGAAGATTTATTTTGAATGGAAACGAAACAATTGTAATGGCGATGCAATTCAGCTAGACAATTCTAGGCGCTCAACAACACTCCTCACATATGAGCAGCTTAGGCCACTAGCATGAAATACTCCGCTCGTTCCTACTAGCTTAACTCAATTTAATCGCTAATCAAACATGAATTGCTCCAATGACAAGTTTCACAGTTTTCTGATTCTAAATTATAATAAAGTCAGCAGAAATTACCTAACTACATTTAATGTGAAGATTTAGGGAAGTGTATTAGATCCAAACACTAAAAACTTGCTTAGACACAAGTCTAACACACGTCATAACAAACTTTCATGCATCACTTATATACAAAAAGAGATACTTTGAAATAGAAAGTATGGACAAGTGATGCAAGAAGTACCAGTAATATTTAAAAGAACAAAATGTAACTGCAATATTTGTTAAGATACTTTCTACTGAACTGTTCATACTTGCGACCCATCCTAGTTGCTCCTTCGTGAATATAATTGAACACAATTCATAATTTTAAGAGAAAGAAATATTAAATAAAGTAGAAAGATAAATATTAATATGGGTCGAAGTGAGTACGCTAACTGAAGAAATGAGAAATCATTCAGGCAAAAGCGCTGTAAATGAGGGTTCACATCGACTAGGCCATAACAGATATTCTCGGTAACAAGAGAAGCAGCGTGAGGTACACACAAACGATTGTTTGACACGTCTAATAATTAATATTAAATCCAAATATTATCGCAATGAACAGTAATAGCGTTCATAGTTGTTGTAAGCGACTATAAAAACTTTCATTAGTCCGACATGTGAAATTAAAGAAATTTTAAGAACAATAAAATGATTAAAATTGTTTTTCGGACCACTAGGGTTAGCGTTGAGATACTTGAAAAGAAATATACAACACACACTGAGAAATACAATGAAATTTCTAGAATTGTAAAATTTTGCTGTGGTGTCCGGGTCGTAAATTAGCAGCCGCGCATCAATAAAAGGTAAAAGTTAGAACATGCCACAAAATACAAACGTGAAAATATCAATCATCAATGATTGATATTTGATTGATAGCACGAGCAATTTAAATTTTCAATACAGGAGAGCAATTCTAAATATGTTCAAATAACAGCCTGTTTTGCTGAATTAAATAATTCAAAGCTCACGAATCCTTCCCATTGACGAGAGCATTGCCTACATGGGTACGAGCGACTTCACCGTTTTCAAGATTATTTACAGAACTGAGGTTCACAAAAGCGGTTGATAAGTTCCTTTCACCATTAATAAATGTCTTGCCTTCGCCGGTAATTTTACAATTGGATAGCTCAGTGATCGGATGTACAGAAAGGCGTTTAGAAGGATCTTTGCCAATCCTTAGGGACGGGCATGAAGGTGATGATCTTTGTCCATTAGTGACAAGAGCAGAAAGAGAATTTACAGCAACATCTTCTGTTATAATGGGCGTGACAGGCTCAGGAATGCTTTTTGCACATGCTTCGTTACATGAGCCTGTAGCATTCTTAGTAGCCAGCACTACAGCCTGGGAATTTGGAAGATGGATGATGGTATGCTTAACAGCACTCGACACAGAGACAATCTCAATATTAGGATTTCTTTTCACATTCGGAGTATGGTCATGTTCGAGATGAATAGCAGACGAGTTCTTACAGTCACCGTCAAGAGAATTAGTGGCTTTATGAAGCTCAATCAAAGGAGAAGCATCGCCGCCCCATGACGGGCTGAGCTTGCTTGAGGTTGCTCCAAGACGGCCGTTTGTGTCGACGCTATCAGGGCTGTCAGCTCTTCCAGACGACAAACAATCCTTGAGTGGTTTTACATTACCTGCAATGTTTAAATTTATGAGTTAGAAAGGTTTATTCAATAATATACTGTGTTAATTCGATATCAACATATTTCCGATAGATTTTTTAGGCAAGAACTAAATTAAAATATTTTGTATCGAATTACCAATTGAAATATTCCAAATAAGATTAATTATCACAATAGGTTGTGGCAGTAATTTGCGTGCATCCAAAATTAAACGCAAGTTTTTATGATGTAAAACATAAAATATCCTTTAAACATTAATTAACCAATACTAAACATCGAAAATATACAAGAAAGATATACAAATGTATTAGACATTAAATCAAGTGAATGGAACTCCTCGGGGAATAAAATGCAGGAGGATGGTCAAAATTCCGAAACTGAAACTTTTTTATAAATAAACTAATAATGGAAAACCAATTCAAGAAGAATTGAAGTTCTCACCCTCAATTGGTGCTGTTGAAATTTTGGATGCATCTTTTTTATCATGGAGTGTGGAGGAAGCATAGCTAGCCACTGCCAGGGGATGGTCTTTGGTCTCGTCGACGACGTTCTGCACGCCAGCTTGCAGAGCAAAGCCATCACGAACCCGAACTTTCATTTTCCAACTGTGCTTCGGATTTGCATGCGTCGAATCCTGGGATTTAGCTCTCATCGGAAGCTTGGGAGCTTCAACAGCTTTAGATGCAGATAAATAGTGGGAAGATCGCTCTTCTTCAAGGAAACCCACAAACGAATTATCACCATCACTCAGCGAACTATTGTCTGCATCAAACAACTCGTCTAAATTGTAGCTCAAATCATCCGATTTGAGACACTTGGGATCACTTAAGTCACCTTCCTCCTCATCTGAGTCGGTGATTCTTAGAGTTAGCGTATCAAGGTTTTCCCTAGAAAATCTCTCCTCATTGACCAGCCTATGCCTGTCATCTATTGTTTTAACAGCATCAACTACTTTAGTTTTCTCAGTTTCCTTACAATCATTTTTATTTTTGTCCTGAGTGTTTCTATTAGACACTAGAGATATCAGTTTAGCAGTAATTTCTTCTTTACTAATGGAGTCAGATGCCAATCCAAAATTATTTAGCTCAATACCGCTCTTCAATGCCTTTTCAGCCCGATTAGGATTCAAAGCTTGGCTTGATGCTGCTTTTTTGCAAATCTCAAGCTCTGAGAGGTCACCAGATGCTGTAGATTTACTGCTCTTCACTGACTCAACGCTGTCTTTAACGTCGTTCTGCACACTTCCATGCTTGGCACTGCTGCTCTCATCAGCAACGCAAGGCTCGTCTTCTATTTCCATACGGCTGCACGGAGTTAAGCTGACATTACTTGGTGGCTGCCGTACTTTGTCAGTAGTTATCTCACGTGTCTGCAGGAGTTCAATGGACGTCTCTTTGGACGATTCTACAGACTGTGTATTTGTCACATTTTCTTCAATTGCTCCTGATAACCCAGCCGTTTTTTCAATGGCTTTTGAAATTTCGGCATTTTCGACTATCTCGGCGTTTTTATACTTGTCTCGTGGTTCAGATTTCTCGGCTACAGTGGAGTTAGATGAGCTTGGACTGTCATCTCCAGCCAAATTTGGCCAGTCAAACTCCGGACTGTCAGTCATACGCATATCATTTAAATCTTCTTGGGATGCACCTACCGAATCATTTTCAGTGACCTCGCTGTCATCAAGTTCATCTTCTTCCCCGGCAAAACTTGTATCAACATTCCTCAGGAGGCGATGTGAGAGTTGATCGAAATCCGAACCTGGTTCCTCCACTCCTTCTCGAAAGAGCTTATTCATCGCTTTAGCTACAGTGGCACTCTCGTCGTCTTTGCCAAAACCGCCTTCATAGTCATCATCATTTTCTTTGTCATACGGCAATGATGCATCTTCCTTTGAACCGAGAGAATATGAACTTTCAATAACCACCTCGCAATTATTCAAGGGATCTATGAAGTCAGAATCTATTTCGTCTAAATCTAGGCTCTCCTGCTTTATCTCAACGTCGTTCTCGTTTTCAAAGGGATGATGAATTGTTACTAGATGAACACAGGCTTTTTTGGTAGCTCGGGATTTGTCATCTGGCGAGTTGTCCCCATAAGGAACATCAGTCCTTTGGTTGCTCCGACTTCTTTCTCTTTTCTTATTATTTGAAGAATAATTTTTAACATCCGTCATGAGACCTGAAGATTTTTGGGCAGAAATTGCACACATCAGAGGCTGAGATTGGGATTCTGAAGAATCAGACGAATTTGGTTTAGTCGTCTGATGAATGAATGGGTTAATTGGGGCGACGATTGACCGAGGTTGGATGTCACGAATGTGTGCCTGAGAGGAGGATGGAAAACTTGATCGCACTGCTGTCTTAAAACGATTTTGATTTTTGAATTTGTGGATTTTTGATTTTGAGCTGATGAAATTATTGGTAGGAGCGTTCTTACGCATATTTTTAGCCGAATCAACGTTACTTAAACTTTTGCTTACTGGAACGCCATTAGGAACGGCCCCGAGAGAATCACTTGTATTATTTACAGATGTGGCCGAACTGGTTCCAACTCCGTTGTGTATTAAAGCCTGCATGTTATTCATTACTCCTGAGCCAACAGACGGGACATTGCTACCGAGCGACGATGAATGGTGTATGCTGTTTGCGATGGAGGCGTTAAACTGAGTGTAAGCAGTCGGAAATACCGGATGTTTGCTCTTGTTGAATAGAGTTTTAATTTGATTAACAGCTTGAGAAATGCTCGGTTTGGGTTGTTGTGATGCAGGCTGCAGCGGAGTTTTTTGGTGAAAAGTCGTAGAATTTTGAGGTTGCTGCAATGTGCTGTGGACAATAGGAGCTCCCGAGACGACCGACTGCAGAAGTGTCCCAGGAAATGGAGTTTGCTGCGACAGTTGGGAGGACTGTGAAGAATGGCTGGCCTGTGAAAATTGCAAGGCTTGAGATAACTGGTTGTGGGGTGATAAATTTGTTGCTGGAGATAACTGGGTAAATGCATTTAGGCTAGAAGAAGGTAAAGTCGCGAGGCTGTGAAGACCAGAAGTGGGTATGGCGGTGAGTGTAGCAACACCAGCCGACAGTCCAGCCTGAGACACCGGCCTTACAATGAAAAGCTGCTGAGTTGTGGATGTGCTGAGACCTCCAACACCTCCGGTGAGGGCAATGGGCTGCAAGATAGGCAACTGCTGTTGCTGAAATGGTCCTGGCAAGCGCTGCGTTTGGATGGCAGTAGCCTGCTGAGGAAATTGCACCTGAAGTATTTGTTGCTGCATTTGTTGTTGAGTAAAATCAGGAGCTGGCTTCTGTACATTAGCAGCAGTTGAAGGAGGCGTAGGAGCTTTCATTTGTGAAGAAGTGATGAGGTCTCCTAGCAGAGTGTCCCTGGAGGTGGTGGGGAGACCAGCACGCAGGTCGGCAGCGTTAACTACCCACTCGAGATACTGCTTGTCACCCAAGCAGTTGCCCAGGGCGTTACCAAAGTTGCGCAATGCTCTCTTCAAACCATCTGACACTGCCTCCTGATCAGCACCAAAAATCGTCTTATTAAAATCATTTAAATGTTTATTCAGTTCACAAATATTTCACAATTAAGTGTAAAAATCAACAAAACATTAATCATGATTAAAATATATCTATATTTTTGTACCTTAATGGTTTTGTTATGGAATTATATTAAAAAATGAATAGGTAACCATAATCATTATTAACCTTACTGTAATTAATTAATGCCATCAAATTGTTCAACAACAGAAAATTTATATAATTTTATTGTGCATCCTCCTCTATAATGCAAATGAATGCAATATACTCTTCCTGTTATTAGCCACCTATAAGAATTTAATGGAGTAGCATACATATACATAATGACGGGCTAGATATGAAAATTATGGAATGAAGCTTCAATTAAAACACTTAAAAGATCATCTTGCAAGCATTGGCAGAGCAAGAAAAAATAACAAGCAAACATAAAAGAGCAAGTGTTTGCACGTGATTTTTTCAAAGTGAGAAAATAATAATGGGACTAACCTTTCTAGCTTTTTCAATAGCTGAGCCCTTGGAAGGGAGGCCTTCAGAAACTCCATAGCCAAGCTCCTCATGATAAGTGCCATCTTTGAGAGTGACTCGCACACTGGCACTTACTCCAACAAAATAGCATCCATCAACCTCGTCCACATAATCTGGAGAAAATAATACATGTCATTCCACGAGCTTGTGAACCAACAATTTCATGCAGCAATTCATGGTGGAATAATGTTTTTATAAGCTGGCAGAGTTTGTATAAAAGACGAGTAATATTTTCAACTAGAAGTCCGTAATAAATTGATACACAAATCATCCCACTTAACAGATCAATTAAAGAAAAATCTTATTTCAACAGCAGCAAATATGAGATCAGTAATGCTAATACTGCCACATATGTACCAAATCATGTTCTGAACCCATTGCTGTTCAGTACTCTAAGGGTTGACATCTAAACTGTGAATTACCAATTGAATGAGAAGAAATGCTGTTGCTCCAGCCATTGAAGCCAAATATTTCATTGGCCAGGGATATGAGCCTCCAAGTTTCCACAAACGCTACTCGTTGTCCTTCAGATGAAGAAGGCCTTTGACTGATAAGTGCAGGACCCAACTTCTTGCCAAGTGTTGTCTGTAGTTTGGTTTGGTCATCCCCAACAAACACATGCTGCAACAGAGAATCTACTTATACCACTGCACAACACTTCAAAATTGATAAGACAAACGTTCATTACAAAATTCAGCACAATTACATTTGAATAAACTTGCCAATTTTGCTGATGCCACATTTTTTTCTTAAAACTGCAAAGAGCTCTTTATTATATTGAAAAAAAAAATTCAACATATTTTCCAATGGATATAGAATGTAATTTTTCACAATGAAAACTGATTACTTCAAGATATTTCTAACAGGAAAACAAGAATTCTTGTTGCCACAATTTTGGCACCCTCCACAATTGGCAAGCCACTAATCACTAGGCAGGTGGCAATATACCTATATAGATATAAGCAATAAATGCAAATTGCAGAGTTAAAAATAATGTATCATGGAACTCGGAGCTAAAGACTTGAAGCTGTGGTTGACCTACAACTAATTTATGTGAAGGTTGCCAAATGAAGGGGTTGCAACCATAATTTTGAACTAAGTATGTAGGAAAAACTGAGTTCTTGAAAAATATTCCCACTTACATTGTACCAACAATGACCAATTTCTACTCTTCCTTGTCTTTACTTGGACATGCAAGGCTTTAAGAAAAATAATAATGTGAAAACTTTTACATCAAGTGAGCCTAAATGAAGCTGCTCAAAGTTGTTTGCAGTATAAACAAAGAATATGATGATTTACTGCAACCATTTAAAGTCATTTTTAGGCATCTTATCAAAAATTAAAGTAAGTGCATCACTCCTCCTATCTTAAGTTTTGAAATTCTGTAAATGTTATTCCACTTAATTTAAATACCTACCCTATGAAACGAGTCTCAGTGACTTTCCCTGATCTCCAGTAATTACATTTAAAGCCCTATTTGGACTTGTACAAGCAACTCCCAAGCAAGACAAAAGTAATAAAAAATTTATTGATGGTTTGATAATAACAAAAACCTGAATAATTAAATTAAAAAATTTGAATGCACATACCTCACCAAATGAACCATTCATTCCTTTAGACAATTTGCCAGGGTCTGCAGCCATGTTGCAACAGGTACTTGTGTCACTTTAAGAGGTCGCTACATTAACTGAAACAAAGTTACACGTCATAAACAAATTGAGCCGAATTTTACTTCAATTTTATGCATACAACACATACCGTACTAATAGTAAAATACAAATTTTACAAGAGTTTTGCCTTGATTATTTTTCAAAGTGAACAAGCCTAGATTATTTTTTTCAAGTAATTTGCCTTGCAAATTATACAGTTTACTGCACTAGATGAGCTTCATTAAAATTGGCCACTTAATAAAATTCATATTCTGAATACTTTTGCTTCCTGAAAATCTGCACATGGCATTGTCACCTGCTGATGGAGACTATTATTCTTCTAATGAAATCAAAAGAAATTTAAACACTACATCACTAATGAGAAGCATTGGACTAACAACCTAAATTCACCAGAGCAAAGAAAAATTGTGGCAAGATAAACGATGATTTTTGCCTAATTTGAAATCTTTTCATTTATTTACATAGATCATCCAATTTTTTTAGAAATGAATAGTGTGCATTTTTTGCACATAAGATATGTAAAGGCATACATGCATTTGGGGTCAAGATAATAATGAGAAACTTGTGCCTCTTTTTAGTTATTGTGAACTGAATGTAAGTTATAGGATAACATTCAACCCATATTGTGATCTAATTAAAAAGATGCAGCGATTTTACCTAGAAAAAATGTTAACAAGCCTCATCATAAACTAGTCATTTTTGTTATTTTTGAATAAGCTAAAAGTAAATTTTTAGTGTTAACAATATCTTTTTTACTCTAGCAGAACTCTGACCTTCAGAAAATAAGTAACTCCAAATATCTTAACCCTTTGATCTTGGATACATTGACCATTGTCAATGCTACTTATACCTAGAGGCAGAGGTGGGCAGTAGCGCGCTACATGTAGCGGCCGCTACTAGCGGCCGCTACATTTTCAGTAGCGGTAGCGGTAGCGGCTCTACATTTAAGGCAATGTAGCGGTAGCGGTAGCGTCCGCTACATATTTAAGTAGCGATACGAGGTTTTGCCGCTACAGCGCTACCGCTACATTTA